CCCCCGCGTGTGCTATTTCTATATTGCGTGTGCAATGACACTGCCCAAGAGGATCACCTCTTTAGCGCTAAGATGGCCACTTCTCTCCACTGGCTTTGTCATTGCCCAAGTCTCCATCCCCGGCAGCTAAAGCTTTGTGGCAAAGGCGCTGACTGGTAGTCACAAAAGAAATATAACATGGAAAGTTTTACCATAATTATAATCAATCTAGATTAAGAGATAAGACCAGCTCACCCACAAGTGACCTGAGATATACTACATACCCTTGATTTGTTAATTCTGCGTAGATTGACATGTAGCACGTACTCCTGGTCAGCGTGTGCCTGCAGCCAGTGTGACTCTGGCCGCAGACCTCCTGCAAAACAATCATCTCACATAAAGTAATACGTGAACATAAGTTCAAAACAATCATCTCAAATAAAGTAATACGTGAACATAAGTTCAAAACAATCATCTCAAATAAAGTAATGCGTGAACATAAGTTCAAAACAATCATCTCACATAAAGTAATATGTGAACATAAATTCAAAACAATCATCTCACGCATATATATATCATGGTGGAATCAGGTGCTCGTCAAAATAATCAAACTGAAGAAACTGGACTTTTATCAAATTTTTGTTTTTTGGCTCAACACCTTTTATGTCCATTTTAAAATACATTGCTGTGTGGCTTTTTACTGAAAATTGTTGATTAAAAGCACAAAACATAAATTTGCAGTTTCCAATGAATCAAGTTTTGGAAGTCAATAAACTTTGGTGGCCATTTTCTCTCTAATTTTACTTCTGAAACCAAGTGACCTCTCCTGCTTCAATTCAGCATATCTCGACTTCTATTGAAGACAAATGGGTACAGTAATTTTTTCTTCGAAAGCAAGACAAACGAACAAGACGTAAGATGATGCCAATAACTCCATATGCCCAAAAAATTGACAAGCGCCTGATTCCACCCTGTCGTAAAACATATATATATTAATAGTAATAATACATGAATAAGTGCACAACAATTCAATTCCAATCCTTATTTTGATTGTAGCACCCCACTACTACTACTACTACTCAACACAGAACAGACTAAATTCAAGCAAGAGACCATATTACTGGAATTACTAGAAAAAAAAGCTGTGGATGCAGTGATTTTCAGAAGAGAATGTTCTCAGAAATATATTATATATATAATATACATTTATGATGCTTACACTAACTGACAATAATGTTTTAAAAATGTCCCTCATTTCTTTATCCATGCCCTGCTACACATTAGGGTGAAAATATTGTAGGAGCCGCAACTCAAATTGTACATGTAACAGATTCATGAGTGTATTCTGAGAGTAGGCCTACAGTGTGACCGATACTTTCATTCACATAGGCCCCTACTTCCATTTCACTTACAACCAAAGATACAACATCCTATCAGAAAGAGAAGGGACTTGAACCAGGGACCTGATGTTTGCCAGTCTGACGAGGACCTTCAGGTCAGCACTGTGCTAGGACTTACAGAACATCACTGCACTAGTTACTTACTGTTCACCAATAGGAATTACAGTTCACCACAACACTGTCACTAGGATTTAGACTTTAGGAATTACAGATTATCACTAAAATAGTATACTAACACTAACAGTCTTACTGTTCACCAATAGGAATTACAGCTCACCACTATATTGTCACTAGGACTTAGACTTTAGGAATTACAGATTATCACTAAAATAGTATACTAACAGTCTTACATTTCACCAATAGGAATTACAGAACAACACTAAACTAATTAACTTACAGTTCATGAGGACTTACAAATCACCACTAGACTAGGACAAGGACTAAGTTGTCATCATTTAGCCAGGACTTCACTTCCATCTCTAAAAGAAAGACAATACCAGCTCTCACTCTCACCTCGGTGCCCTATGTTGAACTGGCGAGACGAGCTCTCCGGCTCACCCTCCAGCCACCCACGGAGCTCCACATCCACCTCAATCTGAGGCATCTTTGTCAGCACCTGGTACACCTGTGGTCAACATGATTCATGGGGTTAAGTATATATAATATACAGTATACTGAGTAGATTCACCACCTGGTACACCTGTGGTCAACGTGATTCATGGTGTTAAGTGTATAGAATATACAGTATACTGAGTTGATTCATCACCTGGTACACCTGTGGTCAACATGGTTCATGGTGTTAAGTGTATATATAATATACAGTATACTGAGTAGATTCATCACCTGGTACACCTGTGGTCAACATGGTTCATGGTGTTAAGTGTATATATAATATACAGTATACTGAGTAGATTCACCACCTAGAGATACTCTTGTGTCAAGACAATTCATGTTGTAAAGTGTATATATAATATACAGTATACTGAGTAGATTCACCACCTAGAGATACTCTTGTGTCAAGACAATTCATGTTGTAAAGTGTATATATAATATACAGTATACTGAGTAGATTCATCACCTGGAGATACACTTGTCAAGACAATTCATGTTGTAAAGTATATATATAATATACAGTATACTGAGTAGATGCACCACCTGGAGATACACTTGTGTCAAGACAATTCATGTTGTAAAGTGTATATATATTAGTACAAGCACCAAAAAGAGCGAAACTTGTGACCAAGAGAATTTACGTGGTTTTATACTGAGTAGATGCACCTCCTGGACTGGAGATACTCTTGTGTCAAGACAATTCATGTTGTAAAGTGTATTCATGTATTAGTACAAGCACCGACTAATAATAAAATAATAATAATAATATATAACATTTATATAGCGCATTTCCAAAAAAGTAGCTCAATGCGCTTTACATTGGAATACCCATTTTTCAAAAACCTTTCTTACTACTTCCTTTTTTCTTCTCATGCAATATACATTAATGCACACACACATACACACACACACACACACACACAGACTATTTTCATCCAGACATAGGAACAGAACAACTATAATGAAAGATAACGTTAAAAGCTTATGAAGGATAGGCCTGTAGGAACAGAAAATGTTTAAGATGTCTTTTGAAGCTATCAAGTGTTTTTATTTGTCTTAGTTTCAGAGGGAAACTTGTGACCAAGTGAATTTACGTGGCTTTATACTGAGTAGATTCACCACATAGAGGTGCACAGTGCCCAAGAGAGTGACAAATACAAACATACAAAAGAAGTAGAGGAAAATGACAATAGTAAGAATGAGGAAAGAAAAAGCAGCAGTTCCCCCTATGTTGTTCCGGCACAGTATGAGCATGACATTGATAAATCAGTCCATTTACAATTCTACTGTACATAAGAACATGTTAATATACCCCTCTTTGGGAATGGCCTAAGGATAACTTCAGTCAGTAGCACTGCCTGGGAGGCGGGGGAAAGTAAAACGTCACTCTGTCATCAGCGACCATGCACAAACCTGATCGACTTGCTGCGGGGTCATGTCAGAGGCCAGCATGTTGTTGAGCGTCTTCATCTGTCCATCGCAGAGAGCAATCAGCTCAGGGAGGTTGTCGACCACCGCTCTGGAATCGGGGGCTCCGCGGGGCAACGACGACGACTTGCCCGGACGTCTGGAGGGACAAACAGCAGTTGTAGTTGTTGTTGTAGATGTTAGTTGTTGTAGTTGTAGATGTTTAATATCCTCCATAATCACAATTTAGTTCATTTTTCCAACTCATGAGGTTATCTTTTTACTCACAAAAAATGAGGCCCACGGGTGTCAAACTGAAACCATCTCTCTAAAAAAAAAAAACTTCCAGATTGGAAGTAGCCTACATACCACTTTCGTTTCCTACCACTCCAGCTTCTCATATTATGACACAGGGAAGTATCAGAAACAGACATGCACCCCCAACTTCTTTATATCAAGAAAAACAGTGCTGATAATTTTCCGCAGATCTGCGGATTTCCGCTTTTTTGTTGTTTCCAAAATATTACTTCGTATGTGTTATATTATTGTAGTTAGTATTAGAGTTCTATGTTGAAATTTCGGGATTGCAACGGGGGCGGAATATTTTCCTCTTTTTTGACTTTTTCTCATTATTAGCACTGGAAAAAGTAAAGGGTCATTTTATGATGACACTTTGAACACTTAGTATTCAAACTATAAAATATTAAAAACCTTCGAATTTGAATGGCATTTTGTCATTAACTCAACACTCATTGTCTTTATTTTCAGTTTCAAGCACAACGATGGTTTTTAGTTCTATTCTAGCATTGACTGTGTTAAAAGTTGTGGAATAGTTACATGTAAACCTATCTAACACAGCCACTCATTTCAGAGGAGAAAAGTGGTATTTTAGACAGGTGGTCTTCTTGGACAGTGTCGTTACAATATATTATTCTTTTTTAAATACATAAAAGGTGGTATGTGGGAAGTTGTTGTTGGTACAGGTGATTATTTCGGACGGGCGCTCGTTGAGGAGTATTATTTGGTAACATGTACATCAACTTGACTTGCATTTGTGATATTTTTATTTTATGGTGAAATGGTAAGTTTGAGAACCTTATGGAGTTACCTGAAGCAGGCGAGATGGTAGGACTGGTTTCTTGGACAGTGTCAGTATATTTTTTTTTTTAAACACAAAGGGAGTACATGTATGTGCGAAGGGGTTGTTCGTACAGGGTGATTATCTTGGACGGGTGCTCGTTGAGGTGTATTATTTGGTAACATACATCTACTTGGCGCTCATCTACAAAGCGGAAAGTCCGGGTTCGAGCCTCGGTTCGGACACATTTTTTTTTAAACCCCCTCCTGCCCACCCAGTAGTAATGGGTACCTGACTTCGAGTTGGGGAAGTAAAGGCGGTGTGGAAAAGAACTGGCCACCCTACCACAATATACCGAAGGCCCAGGAAGTCGTCTCACAAACAAAGCAATCCCCAATGTCTGGATCGGATGTGAGAACAGCTTTACTTTACTTTACATCTACTTGATTTGTATTTATACGTAATATTTTTATAGTGAAATTTTAAGTTTGAGAACCTTATTGGTAATATTATAGCATTACCTGAAGCAGGCGAGGTGGTAGGACTGTACGTGGGGCAGTGTGAGCAGCGAGGATTGGTTCCACCAGTGACCTTGAACCACCATTTGGAGCAGCTGGATCACGTTGAGCGAGGTCACCAGCCAGCCCTGGTCAGCTGAAACGTCCA